ATAAGTTAAGGAAGTTGTGGTTTGGGGTTTGGGGTTTCGAGTTTAGGGATTTATAAACCCTTTCCTCGTAAAGCCCTAGCAATAGAAAACACGGGCATAGCAATTTCCTCGTAATGTTCTAGTAAGACCTTACTAGGGCTTTATGAGGAAAAAACGCGGGCATAGCTATTTCCTCGTAAATGGTTTTCCTCGTAAAGCCCTAGTACAGCCATTACGAGGGCCTTACGAGGAAATAAAAACACGGGCATAGCTATTTCCTCGTAAGGTCCTACTAACATTACTAGGGCTTTACGAGGAAACAAAATTCCTTATATATATACTCGAGCAATCCGGTTTCTCATTTGCTAGTAACCTTCTCTCTAAATCCTCTAAAGGTTCTCTCTAATCCGTAGTTAGGTGATTAGATTAGGGAATTTAGATTAGGTGGTTAGTTTAGGGAGTTTAGATTAGGTGGTTAGTTTAGGTAATTTAGATTAGGTGGTTAGTTTAGGTAATTTAGATTAGGTTGGTTTACTTTTATTTACTGTTTTTTTTAAATTATACGGGAATTAATGTTTTGATTTTTTAAAAAAAATATAGATGCCTAGACAGAGCAAGCTTGCTAAGGCTGCTGCTAAGAGGACGTCGTCTCTCGAAGGGATAAGCTACGGAGATATGTTTGGGCGTCAGGATGCTCCGGGTTCATCTTCGTCAGCTCCCGGTTCATCTTCGATTCCCGAGACTCAGAGAGCTTCTATGGCGTCCCGGCAACCACCACCTCCTCCTCCTCCTCCTCCACCGGTCGGGGTTCATCCCGATTTGCAGGTGCCGCCGAACGCACCCTTTGCGGTGTACACGGTGGAGGATATTTTGGCCCTTCCAGGTAGAGAAGGGTTGGCAGAGTTAGATCCTTACCGACGGGACGGCCAAAACATATTATGGTATGTTTTAATTTTTAAAAAGTTTTTTAATTTATTTCTTAATTAACAAAATATTTAGAAATTAATCTAATTAATGATTTATTTTGTGTCTTTGTAGGTTTGGTCTTGACAATTGTGTCGGATCTAGCGTCACGGACTGTATCAAGGGATACTTTCCCGATCCAGCTCCAAACTGGAAGATGACGGCGAACCACACAAAAAAGACGTGGTTCAAATCGTTCGCTGTAAGTTTAATTCGTTAATTTATTTTTAATTATTTAAAATTATTAATATAATTGAACTAATCCGTCTTTTATTTTTTTTCTGGTTACAGCAAAAGTATCGTTGGTCTATTGGGATTCACCAGCGAGTGAAGAAGGAGTTTGAGGCCAAGGCAAGAGCACGATTGCTCGACATGGTCTACAACTGGAAGGGCGACTATGAGGTATATATTTATAAATTATAATATATATATATATAGTTTTAAAAATATTATATATATATTGACTTTAATTCTAATTTTTTTTTAAATCAGGTGGAGAGGCCGGGAAACCCGATTGCCTCACAATCACGGTGTGGGATGGCTTCATCAGCTATTGGGGGTTGCCGGTCAGAACCTCCAACACAAACTCCGGGAACCGCATGACCAAAGACGAGCATGGCAACACGAAGGTGCTTCACACCACGGGTCGAAAACCTCACGGGGGAGTTCGTCTAGACATGGTAAGATGATTTTTAATAACAATTTAATTTTTATTTTATTTGAATATTCCAAATTAATATTTAATTTTATAAATTAATTTTAGNCAACACGAAGGTGCTTCACACCACGGGTCGAAAACCTCACGGGGGAGTTCGTCTAGACATGGTAAGATGATTTTTAATAACAATTTAATTTTTATTTTATTTGAATATTCCAAATTAATATTTAATTTTATAAATTAATTTTAGGCTAAGGAGACAGGAGTTCTTCCATCTCTGAAAGACCTTTACGAGAGGACCCACCGGAACAAGGCTGGGCAGTTTGTAAATCCTGCTTCCGAGCGGATCTACAACGAGCTTGTTGCCCGAGTTGACGAACGCCAGACCCAGCTGACTCAGCAGACTGGGACTCCAGTCATATTATCCACTGTTGACGTGGATAAGATTTACGAGGAGGTAAATAATTTGTTTTACTATTAATTTTTAATATTTTTTAAAAAAAAATTCTTAATGTTATTAATATTTTTATTTCCAGGTTGCCCCTAGAAAACAGGGGTGTATCATCCGGATTGGCTCGGTTAACGATGTCCCTGCAGCGACATCGTCTTATCATCAGGAGCAGCACGATGTCAATGCTCAGCTGCGCTCGGAGTTGCAGGCGACGCAGTCTCATGTGACTTCGCTCACCGAGCATGTGACTTCTCTCACCGATGTCCTCGACATTATGGCGGTTGGAAACCCGCATGTGCAGGAGATGTTGCGTCGGAGACGGGAACGTGCAGGGATTCCAACCCAACAGCATCCACCATCACAATCACAGCCGGCAACCAACTATGGAGAGGATTTGCCGAGCCAGGACGACGACCAGTTCGTTTAGCAATTTCACGACCAGCATCCGTAGTTTTTTTATTTTTAATTGTATATTATGAATTTAAAAAATTTTTGTACATTATTTAGTTATTTATAAAATATTTTGTTTTTATTTTTTTATTTATAATTTGATCTTTTTTTATTTTTAAAAAATAAATTAATTATTTGTAATTACTTTTTTTAATAGGGAAAAAAACATTTCCAAGCAAAATCCTCGTAAAGGATTCCAAGTAATGTCCTCGTAACAAGTTCTAGTAATTTCCTCGTAATCTATTACTACGATCTTACGAGGAAAAACTTACTACGAGCTTACGAGGAAAGCGTACGAGGACCTTGCGAGGAAAATATTACCACGCCTTTACGAGGACACATTTCCTCGTAAATTCGCTAGGACCTTACGAGGAAAATGGCTTTACGATGAACGTGTTTCGAGGAAACGCGTTTCGTCGTTATTTCCTAGTAAAAGGCCATTTACTAGGAAATAACGAGGAAAACCCGTCCTAGTAATGGACGAGTTTTCTTGTAGTGTATGTACGAGGACTTTACGAGGAAATACGTATCCACGTGTTTACGAGGAAAATTTTCCTTGTAAATTAGTTAGGACCTTACGAGGAAAAAGGCTTTTCGATGAAAGTGTTTCAAGGAAAAGGGTTTCCTCGTAAGTTCCTAGTAAATGACCATTTACTAAGAACTTACGAGACAAAGTGGTCCTAGTAAAGTACGAGTTTTCTTGTAGCGTGCAGGTAAATGATTAATGACCCATTTCATCATTTAGTTTGTCGTAGTTGCAGGTATGAATTTATTATCAAATAATATATTGTTTGACAGGGCAAGAAGTCTATAACAGATTAAGACCTTTGAATTACCGTGGTGCTGATGTTTTTATTCTAGCCTTCTCTTTCATTGGTAAGGCTAATTATGAGAATGTCTCCAAGAAGGTCTCTTTCACTCTCCTTGCTTTCGATAGAGTTTGGCTTAATGATCTTTATGCTTAATCTTCCGGTGAATCTCAGAGTTGAAGCACTATGCTTCTGGTGTCCCCATCGTCTTTTGTGAAACCAAACTTTGTAACTTACTCTAGCATTTGCTTTGAAGCATTTTGTTCATGTCTAATTTCCATTGCCGAGACAATCAGTACCTTACACTTAGTGCTATTTTCTTGTGACTTTTGTAAACTGCTCTGATTTATAAGATGGCATAAGGGGATGTGATTTCACATATTCTTGGTTCTGGTTCAAAATTGTACAAATTGAAACGGAGAGTAGTTTTCATAGCATATCACTGGTCAACATGTTTCTTTTTGTATTTCTTGTGAAGCATAATATGCTACAACCTTCTTGTAATAACCTCTTAAACCTTTTAGTGACCCAAATTAGAGAGCCAATTGTTTATTCCTTTGAACATTGTCCATTCAAATAGCTAACATATAGCACGTACTACTTCCAGATAGGAAGGATGATCACAAGGTTTTCAAAAAGTGAATCACAAAGTTGATGATGTTCGTGGGATGGATTTATTATTTACTATGAAATTGTTCTTTGGTTAATGCTACTTTTTGTTATGGACTGAGTTACTTAGAATGCATGTTTCAGATTTGGAATCTCCACCTTGCTTTTGTTTCAAACTTTTCTGGATATTTTGTTTTATGCAAATATGCTTTTGTTAGTGTCCAATACGTCTTTGGTAAAACAAAGACAATGAAAATAAGAGGAACAATGTCAAAGGTACAAGAGCTCACATATAAACATAGATCAATTGTGTTACAAAAGAGACAAAGAAAAGCTAAATAGAAAAAGTTGGAAACAGTCTTGAGACAAAGATACAATAGCTTAAGAGATGAGATACGCAATTCTGATTACAGCCAACATAAAAAAAAAAAAGAATCCACAACACACTTGGATGGCAAACCTCTCTTTCCAAAATTTCATTCTGCCAATGGAATCAAACTCATTTCTTTCATCTGTAATAAGACAAACTCGTATTGGAGAGAAGAGAATTGTTTAGGGTTTTAAGAGTTGATTTGTGAATTTTTTTAACTGGGCTATGTTTTGAAAACGATACAATACAAGCCGCCGTGAACTATAAACAGAGATTTAACGACCAAAACAGTTGACTAAAAGTGTACCTTATATGGCTCAGTCAAAGTAAGTTTGTGATTTATTTAGATTAATGAAAAGTTTGTATTTCTTTTGGCAAATTTGTAAAAGTTTGGTATTTAAATGACTATTTTCTCTATAAAAATAGGAAAAAAGAATAATTCTTGTGTGTTATTAAAACAAGAAAACTCGAAGCAACAGTAGTTTTTTTTTTGTTGTAAACTGGGAGGAGATATATTATAGGTCATGAACCAGCTGTTGTTAACAGTTGAAATCCAACTAGGAACACAATGAAACCAACTTTTTGTGCTAAACGACTAAGCACCGTTTGGTAAGCAAAACTTCACCGTTTGTTTGGATCCCTAGTCCGAATATATGTATTATGAACCAACGATAAAAGAATAGAAAACAGAGAAAACAGAGATCTACATACCATCTGACGAGGAATTGTTCACCTGAAGGTGCCTCCAAGAAGTGGACTGTCTTGGTAAACGAATTTAAATCCAACTGGTACTTATTCATGTGCTTGATTAAATCTTTAGTCCACAAACCAATGAACCCTGGATGGTCATCTTCCGTGGACTCGGGATCCAACGAGTACAAGTAATCTCCTCCAGGAGTTAGAACGTAGAACTTTTTATCTTTCTTAGAATACATGAGACTCGAGGATGTGTATATGGACGGAGGCGTGTAGTTCACATCAATCCACGTAGGTTTGCATGAGCGTCTAAAAAGCTTTATCTTAGAGCCATAGAGCTTGACAGCCAATACCCAATCGTCATCCTCTAGGTTGAGATAAGAGGTCATCGCAATGTTTTGGATCAAGGAATGCTTAAGCAAAGGAGGAGGTGGACACACGTTCAAGGAGTTTGATAATGTTGGGTTGCAAGGGATGAAGAGACGCACGCCACTGGTTGTGTTTGTTGAGATCCCAACTACAAAATTATTATATCGGAGAGTCATGGCGTTACGGACTTCATTCACCAGTGCTACGTCTTTAATCACGATGTGTTTTTGCTCCCGAGTCCCGACGTGAATTTTTCCTTATGGATATGCGACCATCTGAAGAATCTTTGCCTGAACCTGCGAGGTCAAGCATGTAGTCTAGTAACATGTACGGGTAGATTGATGTAGACGAGCACCACCGAACCACGTTATTGTTGTGTCTCTGCAACGTGTAGTTAATTAGTACGCTGACCTTATTAGTGATGGGCCTAACTCACACCCAAAAGCTAGCTCAAGAGTGGAAAATTCCCATACACATATATATTGCCCAAGGACACTACACCACCACCGATGTGGGATGTTAATAGCCCCTCTCGAGATGTGGGTGGGAAACGGTCCATAGGAAAACAGCCCAAGCCCAACATCTCGGAAATACCACAGCATATGGGCCACTTTTACAGGCTACATAGGTAGGAAGCTGTTTATGTGGGAAATCATAATGCTGGGTCAAACCATGGGCTCTGATACCATATTAGAAGAAAAAGATGAACAGAAATTGGTGTAACACCTTCCCTCAACAATGGAGATAAGAACAACGTATGAGAGAGAAAGGGAGCAAGAAGAATATTAGTGATGGGCCTAACTCACACCCAAAAGATAGTTCAAGAGTGGAGGATTGTCCATACACATATATATTGCCCTAGGACACTACACCACCACCGATGTGGGATGTTAATAGCCCCTCTCGAGATGTGGGTGGGAAACGGTCCATAGGAAAACAGCCCAAACCCAACATCTCGGAAATACCACAGCATATGGACCACTTTTACAGGCTACATAGGTAGAAAACTGTTTATGTGGGAAATCATAATGCTGGGTCAAACCTGGCTCTGATACCATATTAGTGATGGGCCTAACTCACATCCAAAAGCTAGCTCAAGAATGGAAGATTGCCTATACACATATATATTGCCCAAGGACACTACACCACCACCGATGTGGGATGTTAATAGACCTCATCGTACAAAAATAAACACTTTGTATAGAAAAAAACGAAAGGAAAGCTTACGCGAATACTTTTGCAGACAAGGGGCTTCCCGGCTCGGCTGAGAAGTTGAGACATTTTCAAAATACTATTTTGGTGATTTTTGTGTTTGTTTCTCAAATTCTAAAGTGTAGTTTCAGTAAAGATTTAGAGTAAAAGCCTTGGTTAACAAGTTTACATGTAAAACAATATTAAGTGAATAATAATTTTAAGGAAATAAAAATGTTTGGACACCAAGTTTATCCATTTAAAAGGTTATAACAAACTTTAAGCAGATCTTAACAATAATAATAAAGAAAGGTTTAAGGAGATAATCAAAACACGCCTTGGACACCAAGTTGAAATACATTTACATCCGATCCTCCATAGGGCAACCACATCGGATAGAACTTCTATTGGATATCTTAAAACTAAAATTTTTTAATAATTTTAAGTAAGAAAATAAAGTGACCAATAAGGAATAATTAGCCGAATGGTAGAAGAAGTACTGATCTTTAAGTGTAAAGTATCTCTGCGAAGCTACAGACAGATACCACAACTTTTTGTTTTTTTTAACAAGTTAACTTTGTTAATTAGATTGTAAGAAAGTAATACAAATACATATATAACACTGAAATTACATAGCAACAAATAACATAATGAATATGATTAGAAGATCTTTCAAGAAATTATTTTTTCTTCTGAGGTCTTCTTCATCAATAGAGTATCAGCTCTATTAATATTTTTGCGAGCTTTGAATCTTCGTCGCATCATAAACACCAATTTTTGTTGTTGTATTACATTGGCCTTATTCCAGATGAGAGTTATAGATAATTTCCGGTTTAGAATCCAATATACTGTCGTGAAAACTAAAGACTGGAATCGCCAACCTTTTATGATTGTAAGAATATCACCATACAACAAGAGAATTCGTCTTCTAATCCGTCTCGACGCTTTTTCCATGGTGGTTTCCATGGTTTCAACAATAGAGCGGATCCGCCCATATTCCGACACCAACTATATTGTATCGAAATATAAATTCTAAAAGATACTTCACCTGTTTCTGAAGTTGATCTTGTACTCTTGATCTCATCATGTAGTTTCTTCAATAAATCTTGAAATTTTCCTGGATCCCAAATTTTCCGGCCAAGACGCAATTTATATCAAAGAATAAACAGTGTCGCAATTGAAGATTGACAAAATCTTGTCAAAACTACATCGCAATGGATTTTTTCATCATGGAGATGAAGAATGACAGAGTAGAACCAGAGTAAAACTGTCCTATGCCAACATCATAAACGAATTCTAATAACCTGTTATGATCCGTTGAACTCACCGTTGATGATGTTTGAATTGATCCCAGATTATGAATACCAGGATTGTGATTGAAGATCATCACCGTGAAGCCAAGACTCTTCATAACTTTGGTTACAAGAAAGAGAGAGAAAAGAGCACCGTATATGTGCCTTTGGATAAATACCAAAACCATGGCAATCATCAATATCGAGATCATCATTACGATGTCTAGATCAAAGGGGGATCACCGAAACACACTGTTACTGCCTTGATCAGAGAAAGATTCCACAAATTTGAGAGGAGAAGACGATCGCTTCTTCAATTGCCATAACCACTTTCGCTCGGTTAAAAGAGGTTTCTTTCTATCTCCCGTCACCCTTTTTCTTTCATGTTTTTTCTGGTTTTTATTAATCTTTTAATCATAATGTACTTGTGAGAAACTAGCGTTGGAGGATATGATTGATGTTTTACGGTTGTTTCTCTCTCATATATATATACAGTAAAAGGATTTGTTGACTCCACTTGAAATTTTATGCATGTACAAGAGTTTCTAAAGGAGCACAAATAATTGGTTTCTAGTTGTCTGTTTTCGTAGAAGCTAGTCAAGTTATAATTCATGATAGTCCAAATATTAAGACTTTAAACTTGTTATAATTTGGGAAAATCCCATGAAAAACCTCTAAAGTGGCAAGCACTTCCATTTTAAACCTCCAACTATTATGCTTCCATAAATAAACCTTGAACTAAATTTGTGATTTTCGCGTTTTGTCAATAAGTAGGGTGTACAAAATTACAAATTTTATTGACGTCGTATTAACCCCGTTAGCTTTAATGAAACGTGTGTCTTATTAAACTTAATTATATTTTAACAGATCATATTTTTATTTTATTTATCGACAATAATATACATATATATATATATATATTATTTCCATATTTGTTTGTGGGTTGAGCTCGAAATAAATAAATAAAAAAGAAAACAAAGCAAGATATTTTTGTATAAGACGATACAAAGTAGTTTCTACACAAATTTAAGAGTTTTTAGTATGTTAGAGAACAACACATTTAAATCAAAGCAATCCATTATGTTTAAATGGTAGCAAGTTAAGATAAAGTAAAGTTAAAAAAAAAAATTAAGATAAAGTAAGAGTACATAAAAAAACAGAGAAAACATAGTTTTTAAGAAAAAAAAACAGTCACCAACAATTCAGTTTTGTTTATTGTGGAAGTTGTGAATCAGTGGCAGCAGAACGATCATAAACTCTGTTCCCAAATACTTCGAAAGGTCGATCTGTGTAGGGGCTCCAAAATGTTCCACTCCCACTTGGGATGTTCTCGATCTTTCTTATCTTCAAGGGTCGTCCACGCTTTCTTCACATGTTTGGCTGGTTGTTTGGAGGTGACAGGTTGTTGAGGAGCACTAGAAGCAACAGGAAATGCAGAATTTGATTGAGCGGTTTGTAACGGCTGAGTGAGATCCAACTAATGGATTTTCTTTATTTTTTCTTGGTTTTGGTTGACTCTTTGGCTGCTTCTAAATCATGAAAAATCAGTCCAAAAATATACTACAATACGAACTAGTTAAACAACATTTCTGAAAATATTTACCTCTGCAGGATGTTTACGAGGTCTGCCGTGTCTATTTTTTGGGTCTTCTACAACGGTTCACTTTTACATCCACTTTTAATATGTCCAGCTTGACCGCAACGGCTGCAATGTGATATCCTACCGTGTCTTGTAGATTTACCTGGATTTTGTAGTGATTCAAAATGTTCTTTTCTTCTATTGTGTTTTTTAAGTCTACCTCTTGACTTGCGTATGTCGGATATTCCAATTGGAGGATTATCTATTTTCTTCCACAACTTATCACCATTGACATGTCTGATGTTATCAGCATATGTGTTTTGGAGGCATATAGTTGAATAATAATCATGGACATATTTCTCAGCATCGTTTTGGTTGTCATTTAACACACATATTGCAAAACAACAAGACAAACAGCAACACAAAGCATAGTTTAAATATAGTTTAAATATATATATCAGCAGTCTTTAGAAAAAAATACAAACAACAAGACAAACTAAAGTTAAACATTAAAGATCATTAGATTTTGTTCCACATACCTGTAAGATCCCAACGGCGACAAGCACATTGATGTGTTGCTAAGTTGTATAGCCAACATCAAACTCATTTGCCTCGTACAGAGTTGTTCTGCTGTGTATTGTTGAACAAAACTTCTTCGCAACTCTTGCTTTCTCTAGTATAGCCATTGTAATTGGAGTGAGGTTGGTGCTACACTTCTCTGCTTGTAAACATCTACATAATATCCTTTTCATTCCTTGTCTTTGTATGGCCTCCAGCATGCTAATTACAGGTTTCGTTCTTGATATTTTGATCGTTTTGTTGAAAGCTTCAAATAGATTGTTATGCACATCAGCACAATGCAATTCTGGATAAAAAAAATGCTGTACACCACTTCTCTGGCTCTGTTTTAAGCAAGGCCTCAGACGCATAAGGATAATATCAAAATAGATTTTTATCTTCTGATCGGGAAAATTATTTTTTCCAGCTACATATCCACTATCATCATCATTTTCCAGAAAAACATCAGTTGCACATGCTATTCTCGCAGAAGAACACATCTCTTAGATATCACCATTAATATCCTCAACACATTATTGATATTCTTCATATCCTCACATGCTTCTTTGTACCAAATCAATCTTAACATTGTCACAACACCTTGAGCCTTACTAAAAGCTTTAAACTTCTTCCAGTTGATCTAAGACACTTTCCATGAAACACTCTTAAAACCCAATTTATTAATATAATTGTAACCATCAGCTTCTTTCTTCATTGTTCCACCAAAGTGGATATTTAGTTTCCTCGTATCATCATCTTTGCATTGTAAGCAAATAAAATTTCAGTATACACCATTCATAAAGAAAGAATATATATCAACCAATAACTCTCTTACCCATTACAAATCAAAAATAATTAAATTGGTAACATACAAGTTTCGGAAATCTCAGCAAAAACAAACAGAAAAATAAAAAGGCACCCCACAAGAAAACACGTAAATTTGAAACCAGAAGATTAAAATATTAAAATATTCTTACTCCATGTTGTTTGTCTCTAACATACGAAGTTCTCTTTGTCAATGTTTGGTGTTCTCTTTTGAGTTTTCTGTTCTTTGCTTTTTCGACGGCTAAACCCTACAAGTCAACTTACAGATCTTAAGTTAATGTCTCTAATTAAAATAAAAATAAGGACTGTTAAAATAGAAATAATTTTAATAAGGCACATGTTTTATTAAAACTAATGGAGCTAACTACGACGTCAACAAAATTTGTAATTTGTACACCCAAATATTAGACAAAACACAGGGCCACTTTTGCAGTTTTTATGAAGAAAGATTTTAGTCTCAAGGTTTATTATGGAAACATAATAGTTGGAGGTTTAAAATGGAAGTGCTTGCCACTTTGGAGGTTTTTCATGGGATTTTCTCTTATTATTTTGTATAACTTGTTAAAAATTAATTGATGTAGCTATAGTCTGGAACAAAAAATAAATAGAAATCATTATTTAACAGATGTAGAAGGAAAAAACACAAAGATGGTGAACATACCCAACCATCTTATATATTAAAACAGAAGTCATAACTTTGACTCATGTATAATTTTTTTTTTAAAATAGACTATTCCTTAGAAAGATTATCATGATTAACAAATGTTACATAATTTAATTATAGTATCTTTATATATATTTCTCTTTCTATTTGAAATACAAATGATATAAATCCAAGAATTTTTTTTTGGTATATTTTTAAATTATATTTCCATAATATTACCCAATATATTAATCATTTATTCGAAATACAAATGTTTTTGTTTAAGAAATTAAAATTTATATAGATAGCACTATATATTCCAAAAACTTCAGTAAGAAACTATATACTATATACTAGAGTTTGACCCACATAGATTTTTTATTTTATAAATATTACACTTTGATAGTATTATAAAAAAATTAAATATATGATTTACATTTAATGTTATATATTATATAACTCTATAAATTTGTTGTTTAAGTTTTTTATACGTCATTATTAATATATAGTAATTTGTTTTAGATATTTTAATTTTAATTTTTATTGATTGTTATTACTTATTAATATATTTTTTAGTTTGATACATAAATTATTATGTGAAACAATCAAATATATAATATTATTTAATATAGTGTTTTAATTTCTACAATTTGCATACAATACATTTTAACATTTATTTAGATATACTATAGATAATTTTTGTTAATGATAATTTATATTTTCATGTTGTGTTTAAGAATAATACTTTAATATATATTATTTTAATAATTGGTGAATTTTTATAAGTAAATATATTATTATTTATTGATAAATTTTTATATACCATAAATAAATAAAAAACCTGCACGGTTGTGCGGGTCGAGATCTAGTAAATAAGAGAACTCAGAGGACTTTAATAGTACACATTCTAGTAAATCATCTTTGTTGTAAAACTTAGTGTAAAAGATATTGGAACATCTGATGGTGATATCATAAACACCAAATTTATATCCCCTATATATTAAAAGAGAAGTATACAACATCTTAACTATGACATACATCATCATTAGAATGTTTCTCAAAATATCTAGAAATAAATATTGGTCAATATAAGTATATAATATATTTTTTATTAAACTAGCCATAAAATTATTATTAATGCTCTTTATTATTTCTTTAAGTACAAGCTACATAATTACCTAATATGATTAGTATATATATATATATATGACAATTATTGATTTGAATAAGAAATATTTGATAAAAATTTATGTAGCCTCTATTCTTTTTGTTAAATTTATATTAATAAATTAAACAATCATATTAAATATAATATATATATAAATAATAAAATTTGAGATTTTTTCAAATATATTTTTAAAATATTTTTGTATATGTTATATTTTGGATTTTGTAAAACAACTATAAATTAATATAAGCTTTAAAAAATTCCACATAGAATATTTTTTATTAATAGTTTAAGTTTTTTTTATAACAAGATACAAAGGTTTATAAAATCAATGATTAAGAAATATCATTTAATAAATATTCATATTAAATATATAAGTATATATATATTGACATTAAATTAAACTATATACCATCTAAAATAAATAAAATTTAATTTTAAAATTTATATTGAACAAATATTGTGAACTTAATACTTTAGTTTCAAATTTTGAAATGATTTTTTTTTGATAATTATGAATTATTATAGATATAGAACATAACACATTAAAATTTATGTTATCAATGGTATAAAAATTTTGTTAGGAAAATATACCAATGCTCATAAAACTATATAAATATGAAATTTCATTTAATAGATAGCCAACCTAAAAATATACTATATATATACCTATTTTAATAGCATTTATTATTTAAATTTACTTATATAAATTCTTAGTGATTATAAATAAATAAGTGTGTTTTTATGTACTCCATTAATTTAAGTATTTACATAATGGTTACTAATTTCTCAAATTATTCAATACATATATATTCATTAATTTATAATATGTCAAAAATCATAATAAATAATAATATATAAAATAATTTGTATATACAATTATCATTTCGCCCAAGCTTAATCTAGTAACCCTTGAAAAGAGATGCAGTTACGTCTGAGACCAGCATGCGAGCTACCTCCTCGGACACAAAAAAGGTTCACCATGTCCAAGAAAGATATAAAGATCTTCAATTTTTCGGTGTAGGACAATTTTTATGATGTTCTATATGAGGATGGTTCTCTGATCCAAACGCCATGAACAGACCACGTCTGCTCGTGACTTGTCAAGGTCAGGATAAGAAGACAATCGGAATACTTTATAATCAAAATCAAAACTAGAACTTATTTTATTAAATTAAATATATATTTTACTGGAGAATTGAATCTTAACTTAGAATCCCAAATAGAACTTATACATTATTTCTGTCTTATACAATTTTAACTCTCTCTCGACCTAAATTCATATAGAGATTGTCATTAACAACATTTCCAATCTCTCTCTATATTTATTATCTCAGAACATTTTCTCCTTATCACCATCATACATAAGAAAAAAAGACAAAGCTAATTCAAGAATCTTTGATACTCTTGTGCAACACCATGTACAAAATCATTGAGAGTATAAGAGGAAGAAAGATCACAATCCTCTTAGGTGCAGTAACAGCAAAACTGTCGATGCAGCAACCTTCTTCAACAATAGTCTCAAGCTTTGGCAAGTTTGAGAATTGATGTTGTTGTTTCTGGTGAGATACAATAAGCCTTGGTGATACCTCTCCCCATGTCTGAACAAACCTCATTCCCTTGGCCATCTTTCTTCTTCTTTCACCCAACAGAAGGGAAACGCGAGTCTAGTTTGAGAAATAAAAACAAGGGTGTTCTTTTTGCGGATGAGGAGGGCAAAGGAAAGATAGAAACGTAGTTTTGACTATATGAATGAAAGATCTTTTAATAGATGGACTTAGAGGTGCATATGAAGTGAAGGAGACCAATGGGATAGGTTAAATAGAGAGACTGAATGTGACAAATATGGAAAATGAGAAGAAAGCATGAATGTTTTTCGGGATACCGAAGAACAAAAATGTGCGGTTTGCAGATCGCCAATGATGCATTCTCTAACATGCTTTTGTTAGATTTGCTAAATTTAGAAACTCTAAAAACAGGTCGTACCCAAATAAACCCGTCACATCACATTAGAGGTTTAATTAAGACTTCAAAAAGGGTCAAACAATTATCCTTAGAACCCAAACAGAGAACGGTCATAATCTCATAGAGAAAACAAAGGAACCTTATCAGTTTTTCAGTTTCTAGAACTTTAGGCTCATAAATTGGTTATATACTCCATATATTTTGAACAAAAAAAAACTTCATACATCTACAACCAAATGAATTACAGTGCTATATATACAGTGGTAAATGAAAGACATCTAGATTATGATAAACGTTATCAGTTTTTTCTAGACAATCTAGATATATACAATGGTAAATGAAAGACATCTTATAGAGAAAACAAAGGAACCTTGTCAGTTTTCTTGTAGTATTGTGGGAACCAAAATTCACCTACTGTCAAGATTACGTAAATAAGGGAACTTTGAGTAAATCCTAAGTTCCCAGAGGCCCGGCTATCTGCGGAACCGCACAAGAACAATTAAGAAAACGATGAACGCGAAATTAAAGTATAAATAAACGAGATTGAGAGCAAGAAGGATCTTATTCCGAATCTGCGTAAGAACGGTTACAACGAGAGTGGCCTTAGCTGCGTGAGCCGTCGGCGATATCCCTAACTCTAACGATCTAAGACCGAAAACCCTAGTTGAGACGCAGCTCGATAACAAAAACGGAAATATTCCTAAATGCTAAGTTTGGTGGTGAAAGCTCTGAAAACTCGTCCTCTGCTTATGCCCTATGCCTTTTGCTTATATACTCCCTTCCTATGCGGTTTAGCCTTTCCATTTCGCCCAGATTTGAGTTTATCGAGAATCTTTAATTTATATCGATCTTTCATTTTTTTCCCGCGGAAATCTTCTATTTATCTTCAAACTTGCCATTTACCTTCAAACTTGACTTTTATCCTCCTTCTGCGGGTAAAGCGTCAAAACGTTATCGTATCTTCGGGTTAGATTTCGTTAAAATCGCGAGATGGGCTTTTATCACGTTTTAGGATCTTCTGAACCGTTTTGCGATAAATCCGTTTACGAATTTATACGAGACCCTTTCCTGATTCGATGCCATTTTGTAATAAATTCTTCGAGTTAATCGTAAAGTTTAGCTACATTCGTGTTTTAGTTAATCGTTGCCGTTTTTACGATTCACTCGACATTTTATATAAGAAATGGGTTTTTTACAATTTTTACGAAAAATCTCAAATAAATCATACAGTTTAGGCAATGTTCGGTGTTCCGTTTTACTGTTGCCGTTTTATACGATTTCCTCGAGTTCTTTTCGAGAAAACAAAGTTTTACGGTTTTTATCGTAAAACTCGACCAATAGGACGGATGGAGACGAAACGGGAGACATTTCGACCGTGGTTTGGAACATGATCGTGTCGAAGGACGTATTCCCTGAATCGAGGACGTGGGAGATCGAGGCTTGGGATGGTCGGCTCCATGTACGACGAGCCAAACCGGACTGGTTCAGCTAGCCGTACGGCGAGCTACCCGGGAAGCGTCTAGCTCTCCGTACGGCGAGCTACTCATGATGGGACTAGCTCGCCGTACGGCGAGCTAGTCCGAGGCCGCTTAGCTCGCCGTACGGCAAGCTAGTTCGGCCAAACTAGCTCGCGGTTTACGGCGGAAGCAGTTTTTCACGGTTTTGTGCTTAACTCGGACGATCGTGTAATCGATGCTTGTTTCGTTCTTCGAAGATAACGATTTCCAAGTTAATCCGCGGTTTCCTTTGTTTCGAAACTTCTTTTATAAAATGGCTTCTCGAGTTTTATAAAACCATTTCTCGAGTTTAATAAAACGATTTCTCGAGTTTTATAAAACGATTTCTCTAGTTTTATAAAACGATTTCTTGAGTTTTATAAAACGGCTTCGAGTTTTATAAAATAATTCCTCGAGTTTTATAAAACGATTATCGAGTTTTATAAAACGATTATCGAGTTTTATAAAACGTTTTCTCGAGTTTTATAGAACGTATTTTTTTCTTTTTGTGGAAAGTTTTGTCTATTGATTCTGTCGTATCGATTTTGACCCCAACAGTTAGCCTCTCAGCTCGTAAGAATCGTGGAGTTCTTGCGAGCAGATTGAACTTGTTCGGCAAGTTTGGTAGAATTAGGCAGAACTTTAATGGCCAAAAATCCAAAGGTGAATAGTAAAACTTTTCTTTATAAATATATGGAGTAAATGTTTGAGTTCTTTACTCATTCTCCATAACTTATATAAGAATTTTTCTCTCTACTTCCTTTGAATTTATTTCTCTCATAGTTGCCAAACATGTTTCCAAAAAGGAGAACTCGTTTCTCAACTAGTTCCGACTGTCGCAGCTCCAAGGGAACGAGCTCACAACCTCGAGTTACGGCTCCGAAAGAGGAGTCCTTGTCTCCATCGATCGATCCAAGGGACCACAAGGCTTATTGGGCGATAAGGGACGAATCGGGGTCTGCTAGACCTGGCACCTGGGTTCCAGCTTTGTTTGATGCCGATTGAGCTCCCGGATGCCCGAGTTCAGCCCCTCTTAGTGGTCTTGATACCATGCGGAAGTTTTGCCGAGTCCCAGAAGCAGTCGAGTTTCGCCTCCCGCTTGCCGAATAAAGTGATAAAGCTGCGCCCGATGGCTTTTTTACTTGCTACAACATGTTTTTGTGGCAATGTCATATGTGGTTTCCAATCCCGGGGATCATCGTTCAATATCTTCATAGGCTGGGATTATCGACCAGCCTGTTGAATCAGCGAGGCTTGCAACAACTTGTCGGTCTCTTGACACTGAGCTACGAGCGGGGAGTGACTCTTAGCGTTGATCATCTCGAGGGTTTACTGAGACCCAAAGAGACGACGCAAAGGATCAATTTAAGCCCCCGTGCAGAAATTGTTACTGGTTGCTCGTCGATCTATCCTTCTTGGAAGAAAAATTTCTTCTACGTTCGTATTGACAGTGTGTCAGTCGAGGAAGACTGTATCCCATTCTTCGTGACCACGTGGGGTCGGAAAGGTATGTGATTCGAGTGCATACGAATTCCCCCCCCCCTTTTCTCTTTTTTTTTTTTTTACTTATTTGCTTTCGTTTTCCGCAGAGACCAACGTTTACCTCCGCATCCGGCAGATCTTCTGATTATTACTTCCTCACTTCAACGCGGGGAAGTTGGCTGGGGCAGTTTCTATCCACAGCGTGTTCGCCGTGCGGTTGCTCTCTTCCGATCTCAGTTTTTTGCGGATTCTCCGATTCATGAAGAGGATCCTTTCATAGGAGAATTTGTCCCATACGTGCCTTCGATGAGAAGGGGCAAGTCGAGATCTCGGAAAGATAAACACTTGGTCGTTGAAGATGATGCATCTGACCGTACCGCCTCCCCCAAAAATATTCTCAAGGACTTTCTTGACAGTCAGGCGGAAGAAGGCGTTTGGACGAATGCGGGCGGATCGTCGACTCCAATTTTCCGGGTAGCGATCCTGATTATGTTCAAGAGTTTGTCAGAGGGTCTGATCAAGCTAACGAGGTTTGTGTTTGTTTTTTTCTTTCTTTTTGAGCGATTTTATTATCGGACGGTTTCGCTTATCCCCTTTTTTTGGCAGGGCCTTCTTGCCATGGGCTGGGCCCTACATAACCGTAGTGCCGAAGCTCGTCTCGCTGAGTTTCGAGCAGATATTGTGGAAAAAGAAGTTGATCGCCTACGGGCGGAGATTGAGGCCAACCAAGTCTAAGAAATGGTTGAGAAGGAGATAGCTCGCGTGAGGGGCGAGTGTGCGGCTAATTCTCGCCGTGCCAAGGAGCTTTCTGACCAGAGAGTCCGTTGCGCCTGCCGTGCAGGCAAGAGGGAGGTCGCTGAAGAAATGAGGATCCATCGCGAGCGGTTTGTGACTGGTTACTCAAATGCCGAGGTCGCTCACCTGGCCAACAGTGATTAAATCGAGTGTCGTGGTGTTGTTCATGGGTTGTCTCTTACTCAGAACTTAGGTTACTCGTATGCTAAAGAGTATTCCGTGCAGTTGGGGCGCTTGGATCAGAGGAGAGACATGCAACCTGAACTATTTGATCTCAGGGCGCGCATATGGCATCAGTGGAATCCTATCGTGTTGTCGCCGGATTCAACTGAAGTCGGGCCTAGGATTCCGGACGCAAGTGGTGAAGTCGATCAGCCATGGACCGATGCTAATGTTGGCCAGGACTCGGCATCCGTGTTTGATGATTTCGATGTGTGATATTATTGCATTACGATTTTGTTGTTGTTTTTCCGGGACTGGCCGTTGGTGGCTTTTATTATTCAAAAAATTTTAAGTAAAATATTTTCTAAGTATGAAATCTGTGTTTCGTTTTGGATATAGAGGGAAGAATATGAGTTGTCGTCTCGTATCTAACTCTTGGTGTAGATCGTCCGGTTCGTTTACTCGGAGTGTTTTGATTTTCGCGGATGTTTAGACTTGGGCGAAGAGACATGCCTTTAGGATCTCGATTCATCACTTGAGACGTTAGAGACCAGTGTGATGGGTTTAGGGCAAGACCTAGGTTTACTTTCGGATTAAGGCTATGCGATGACTAGTCGGCTTTCGTTTTGCGTTTTGCGATTTTAACATGATTCCATACCGATTTAGAATCTGCGATAGGTTCTCGGCTTATATGATTCGTATGGTTGGAATCGAGCATCTCACCGGGA